TGGTCGATGTTTCTCTCTCATCGATGTTTCTAACTCTCTGTCTCTCTCCTTTCCTCTCTGTAAAAACTCAGTAAAATATATTAAAAAAAAAAAAAAAAGAATCCACCAATGAATGGAGAGAATGAGTGGAACAACAAACTGATCTCTCTCTCTCTCTCAAAAAAAAAAATCAATCAAAAAAAATTTAAATAGCATATCTCTACACCATCGATAACTAGAAAACATAATTTAAAAGATGATGTCATTCAAATAGCTATAAAAACTGTCAGGTAACCCTGGCTGGCTTGGCTCAGTGGATAGAGCATCAGCCTGCGGACTGAAGGGTCCCAGGTTCGATTCCGGCCAAGGGCGCATGCCTGGGTTGCAGGCTCAATCCCCAGTTGGGGGCGTGCAGGAGGCAGCCGATCAATGATTCTCTCTCATTGACATTTCTCTCTCTCTTCTTCTCCCTTCCTCTCTAAAATCAATAAAGAAATATATATTTTTAAAAAAAACCTGTCAGGTATTTGGGCGTTATCTTAACTAAGAACACATAAGATCTCTATGGAAACACTTTAAGACTCAAGTAAAAGATCTAGAAGATGCTATGACTGAATGGAGAGATAGTCTGTATGTATGCCACCCGGTTTGCGGCAGCCTGAGGAGACGAATGGAAGCCCCTGCCCAAGGCCCTTGAAACCTCCGCCCGGGTCTAGGCTCACTAGTCCACATGAGGTTCAGCTTAGCCAGGAAAGCAAGGGAGGGGCTCTGGCGGTTTCGAGGTGCCCCAGGATATTTACCAATAAAACCATGGAAGCCCGCGTCCCAGGAGATCTTGGGGGCAGCTGGATATAAGTGGAGGAGCCAGAGGGGGCCTGGGAGGAATATTGAAAAAGAGATGTTTAAAAATTGGCGTGTCTTAGCAACAACAAACCTAGCTGGTTTGGCTCAGTGGATAGAGCATTGGCCTGCAGGCTCAAAGGCCCCAGGTTCGATGCCGGTCAAGGGCACATGCCCAGGTTGCAGGCTCGATCCCCACTAGGGGGGCGTGCAGGAGGCAGCCAATCAATGATTCTCTCTCATCTCTGATGTTTCTATCTCTCTCTCCCTCTCCCTTCCTCTCTGAAA